TAATGGCAGTCTCACATGTATGCTCTGCAATACGTTTGCAATTCATTAGTTCTAGAGGTGGCAAAATGGGCGGGATGGGCAGGATTTGCTTGGGCTTGAGATGGAACCGAATCATATGGGTTTGGATCCAACCTTACCCATATGTGTTTTGGAACTAACTTGGGCGCGATCACTTTGGAATGGGTTTAGATTGATTTCGCCCAATACCCAAATCTATTTTCTACATATTTTTTTTGCTTTAATTCATTTTTTATTTTTTAAATAACTTTAATATTTTTTATTTATTAAATTTCTTTTAGTCTTATTGTGAATTTATATTTTCATGAATTCATTTTACACTCTAGAATGATTTCCCGCCCAATATCCAAATTTATTTTCTACATATTTTTTTCCTTTAATTCATTTTTAATTTTTTAAATAACTTTAATATTTTTATTTATTAAATTTCTTTTAGTCTTATTATGAATTTATATTTTTATGAATTCATTTTACACTCTAGAATGATTTATACTCTAAAACGATCAACAATTATTTCAAAAAGATGTAACATTTGATAAGAATGAATATATCTTTAAAACCAAAAGAAAAGTTGAGAGGGCTTAGAATGAATATTTTAATCTTTTCTACTTTTTGTAGCCCAAATGACAAAAGAAAAAGGAAAAGTTGAGAGGGCTTAGAGACCACTCCATCAAAGGCCGAGCTCATTGGGTGCTGACTATTGAAGTTTGCTTAAAATTTTTGGATTTTAAAATTTTTTGGGAAGATATTTGGGCCCAATGGGTACCCAAGTATTTCCCAATATTTCTCATCAATTAATGGGTACAATTGGGATATGTCCCATTTTAAACCCAATATCAAATTACAATACTCATTCCGCCCAAAGTTCCTTTGGGGCATGGGTAGCCAATTGAGACTTGGGACAAATTGCCACCTCTAATTAGTTCCTTGTTAACTAAGACCAATTGAATCAAAAAAATGATTGGACAAAGAGCACTATTTAGATAGGTATAAAGTCATAATAGTTGAAGATATTTCAAGTATTTTGCATCAGTCGCAAATTTATGATGCACACATCCAATATTATTCTATTTTTTTTATACTTTCTATCTTTCACTTTTCTTGGAATTCAGGCTTAATAGAAAAATTTTGTTTTTCTTGTCCAATTGCCTCCCTGGTGAAAGCTTTGGTTTTGAGTTTACGTTTGAAATGAAGATTATTTGAAACAATTCGTTTTTTACTATAATTATTTTCTGATATGATATTTGTAAAGTAAAATATGGCTAAAAATATAAAAATACAGTAGAGAAACATGTTTAGAGGATCTCCAAAAAGAAAAAATTTTAAATACTTTCTAAGTTTCTATCCAAACAATGTTTGTGAAAGATGCACAATAGACGGGAAGATGATCTACATCTATATCATGTATAAAATGAGAGGAAGGGGATTGGGATAAACATCTTTTGTCACATTTTAAACTTATTTTTTTCTTATTCTTACAAAAACTAAGTTTATCCTAATTAGCCAATTATATATAACTAACATAATTTTCAGTGCAACTATCAATAGGCATAATTACCAAAATAACTATTAATTCAATAAAGAAAAATTCATAAAAAGTAATTTATTCTTCAATTACACACACATGGGCGTGTGCTTGACACTTGTTAAGATAACTATTGTTGTGTCTTCACTCAATCAACCGATCCTGGAAAAGAAATAAAATTTAGTAGTTCTCACATTTACGTGGCTTTTAGTTACCGTTTAGTTTTGAGGTTAAGTCAAAAGAAAATGACCTAATCTTAAGCATAAGTTATGTATACAGCCTTTTGAGTTGAATAAAAAAAATGGAATTGTCAAAAAATACACTATTATAAAGTTGAGAATGTGATCTAAAGAGCAAATAGTTTAGTGACAAAAAAAAAAAAAATACTCCCTCTATTAAACTTTGATAATCTTGTTTTTTTTTTCATTCGTTCTAAATTATAGTTTACCTTCCAATTTAAGAATATAGTTATTTTTAATTTCTTCAAAATATCCTTATTTAATATACTTCGTCACTTGTAAATATAGTCTATCTTATTTAATACAGTCAACTTTTTTACTAGTAATTACTTTGATATATGTCATGAATGGTGCAATATATCATCATTATTGTTATTGTAATTAATATAAAAGTATAGTGATTGGTGATAGTTCTAATATTGATGTATGGGTATTAGGAAATATTGGACTAGATTTAATTTTTCAATAAAATTAACTAATTCTTCTTAAATTATGTGCTAAAAAGACCAAGACTATCAAAGTTGGACGGATTGGATATGGCAGCAATAATTTAGTGCCCATCAAGGATATTTCTCCTTTTAATTTTCAGTTATATTATATTTGTTTGTTTCCAGCAGCGTGGACCTACAATTATTAAATGATAGTAGGATAAATTAAGATAATGAGAATTGCTCAATTGCCAAGTGCAACTCGGTAAGTCGGTGTGGAAAGAGGAAAGTGCAAACACACGGTTGAAGCTTCCATTTGTATCAAGCTTTCAAAATTTTCACTTAACCCCACAACACTTTTTAGGATCCTAATTTTCTCCTCAATGGAGTCCAAAATGATAAATTGGCGCCATAGATTTAACTGTAGCACATAATAACGTCCTAAATAAATTTCAAACATCTTAAAAAAATTCTCAAAAATAAATTTAAAGTTATTCCACCAATGGAAGAAAGTCTTGAAATTTAGGGGATTATAAATAGGGTCGTTCGACTTCTCAAAATAAATTAACCTCTGTCTTTTGTTTCCTTTAGCTCTTTTATCACATTAAATCTAATACTTTTTGTTTTCATTTTCTCTTAGCACATTTTCAAAATGATTTAAATCTTTTTTCCTCTCTCTTTATCCTTTTGCTTTTACTCCAATGGCTTTTTTTTTTTTTTAAAAAAAATTTACTGAATATAAGTCATTTCAGTTGATCTACTTTAACATTGGCCTTCAATTGTTTCTATGCTACTGCATGTTCGAATTAACAATTCCAATGGATTTGAATTTGGAATTTACTCAAATTCACATGATGGGAAGACCATATTTTTAATTCCTTATAAGTCTATTTCTGTTCCTCTTCTTTTTTGGCACTACATTTTGTTAATCAAATAAAAGTAATTTATGAATTTGTTGCCATTGAAATTTTATCATTCAATATGATGTAATTTTGGATTGCACAAGAACCACAAGTAGGTGATTTGCAATAGTTTTTTATTTTTTTTGGAGGATATCTACCTTTTTATAAGTAGGTGATTAACTGGATGCAATTTTTAGTTTGTCTTTTGATAGTTATACAAGTTGAAAATACTTAACCAAGTGGTGCGGTATATGAAGGTTTATGCGATGCTTCTTTTTATTCTTTTTATGTTTCCAAAATTTGCTTATCCTTGATAACTTGATGTATTAAGCTATGCAAGAGCAAGAAAGAGTTTCTTCTGGCACCAGATTCATTGGACTTTTTTTTTTTTGGAATTGAAATCATATAAGGGGCAAATTTTTTTTTTCTAGATTTGCATTTTTTGGATTTCAAAAAAATATTTGTAAAAGATTACTATCAAATATGTCTTTAAATTTCTTCAATTTAACTAATTGAGCATTAACAAGTGAAAATCAATAACTACAAATTTCATGCTCTAGCTTTTTAGTTAATGCAACTTTCATGGTTCATTTGCCAACTTATAGAAGCAAAATTATTGTTTGAACCTTCTCAGATAAATACGTATAGCTTTATCTTTTTTGTTCATGTTACTACAAGACTATAATGTCCAAATTTAGAAATAATATATTTCAAACTGCAACTCTTTGCAATTGTGATTTTTTTCCTTGTTAATTGAGCATTGAATCATTAGATCATTGCACCTCTTCAATTTGTCTCCACACGGATAGGATTCGCCCAACTTAATTTGTGATTAAGCTTGTAGGATAGGAAAATGAGGAAATAAAATATGACTTTCTTGAATTCCTTGAATTGGAGAATGGATGAGATTGATTTATAATTATTAAATTATAAGGACAAATATATTATTTCTTTAATTTTGTAAATTAGAGGATGAACATTCTAAATCTTTCGTTACAGAAATATTTTAGTTGTCCAAAAATAATATTTTAGAAGAAGAAGATAATTTGGAAAACAAAGAGAGAGAAGAAAAAAGAAAAATAAAATCAGCATAATAGAGAGGAGTTTTGTTTTGAAGAAAGTTAAGTGACACAAACAAAAGGTTAAGGGGTAAACTTGAGAATTAGAACATACCTTTGGGGGATAAATTATAATTAACCCAAACAGTAATTAGCAAAGTAATTACGACAACTATGTGGTCACCAACCAGATAAAATTCAAAAAATCTCTGTCCAACAAATTTTCGATTTGTGCAAAGGATAGTAGCTTCTTAAATTAATAGCAAATCTATAAAAGATTAGTCCATGGTGATTAAGTGCATATTTAGACCTCCCACTTACAAAAAAAGAAAAAGAAAAAGAAAGTGCTTAGTTTTTGCCTCAATAGCATTTTGTCCTAATCGTCAATTGAAGTTACCATCTTTGGTCCCTTGCACCGGATAAGTAGAAGACTATGTGGCTTGAGATTGTGAAGGGAAAATTCCCTGTGGCAAATAGAGTTAACCATACAATATAGATGGCCATACCGGGCTTAATTGTATCCCCTAACGGCCTTAATTGTATAATCAACAAGTTAAAGCTAGAGAAATACAACACTTCAATTATCTTCTTGAATGTGTTAAGCCCTAGCAGTAAAGCAAATAGAGTTAAAAGGGTTGTCCTATATTCTTCCAATCTGCACTAAAATGTTAAAATGATTTCTTAACTAGTTTTTCCTTTGAATGAATCTTAATGGAGCAGTACACAGAATACCTTAAAGGATACATTATCACATTTTTCTATCAATCTAGTTTTACTCCTTTGATTTCCACTCTTACTAGAACATCACTGTACTATCAAACTAGAAGAGACATTTTTTGCATCTGGAAAATGTTGATACAAAAGCATATGTCAGACTGTCACTTGATTACAAACATTCAACAAGAAATTTGCTTTCTGCTATGGCATCAACCAATCAAAAACTAAAGCAATATAACATGGCCACTGCTGGATCTAGTACTACTAATTTTGGCACTAAAAAATAATTCCTGCAGGTAGTTATAGTCCTAAAGATACTAGTAGTACTCAAAACAAATCCAGCCACAAAACATTGCCATTTACACGAGTAGAACCAGACAACTTAGATGCATGCTTTTCAATTTCTTCTGTATATAGTGATGATGAAAGTTCGAGAGCCCCTGATCAGTTCGAATACACAAACATCTCCAACCACTAGGTTGTTATCCAGCACAAACTTCTCCCAACCTTGTGTAATTTTTGCATTGTTTGCATAAATAAAACACATGACAGGCCATGTTTTTATCCCCTCTGAGACACGAAGGTCCAAATTGCAGTGTTTGTCTTTGGTCAGATGCTTCAAGGCAAAGCTCAGTCGAAGGCTCTGCAAAACAGAGAAACGTAGGTCAATAGTAGCGTCCACTAAATGCGGCAAGCCATTAGGGAGTTTACTAGAGGAGCTAAAGCATGATAGCTCGCTAAATTACCAAAGCGCATCTGCTAGTAACATAGGATGGTTGCATGAAACGAATGAAGAAGGGATTCTCAGATGTGAAAGCCTCTGCTCTTTGGTATGACGAAAACTTGTCTTTGTCGAGCACAGTTTTAATTTTGGGATTGGAAGACTGAGTACTGAGCGTTGTTTTAAAGCTTTCTTCTGCAGACAAATCAAGCTAATTAACATTGACATCAACATTAATCAAACTAGATCATTAGTATATCATTAAGAAAGTACAATGAAAAAAGTAGTTTACTTGTAGTGGCTCTCTGAGATGGATTGACATTTGCATCCAACTTTTCAACATTGTCCTTCTTTATGCAAGCAGAAGCTTTTTCTTCGCCAATCCGAGCTGACTTTCCCCCCTGTTTGGCATGGCATGCTGCAGCTGGAATCTCCTCCAAGATTTCAATGGAATCATCATCAGATGCTTTTTGCATTTCATCAGAATTCCGCATTGGGCTTGGTCTCCTCCTCCTTGGCAGCCGGCCCTCATTACCATGTATAACTCCGCTGTCCTGAGTGGCTTCTAAAGGATACTCAATTTCTGAAGCAGTTAGATCGAATATTATAACATTGAAGAGGGATTTCTCATCGTATCTGAACACCACGAAATAGCATTGCTCAATGGAATAATACTCTGCAAAATCCTTCCACCCTTTATCCAGCCAAGTCCCGGCATCAGTCTGAAGCAAGTCTACTGGCCATGAAGCTCCATTAGGAACCTTCAACCACACAACCTTCTCCAAACTATCTCCATATTTTCTCATAAATGCAGTTGGAATTTTCTAATATTTCCAATCATCAGCAACAGAAATTATTACAAGTTAATATCAGTAAAAGATTATAGTGTACTATTAGACCAGCAATAGCTACTTACTATGCCTTGGTCCACAGGAGAAAACACAACTTTGAAGAAATGTGGAGACTTCTTGGCCTGATGATTGAGGGTCTGGTGGTATGATCTCTTGTTGCATCTTTGGTTGGTTTCCATGTATAGATAGATGCCTTCTGATTCCTCAGTATTTTTTTCCGGCAAGACTGGAAATGGGAAGATGAATCGCAGGCTAGTTGGCCAGGTTTTCTTCAAGACTAGAGTAGTAATATTCTTACTAAATTCCGGAGGGGATCGAGGCCAATGAATTACGAAGGACCATAAATATTAGTAGCAGGGGGTAGCTCAACTGCCCATTTGTAATTGAAGGGAAGGCAGTAAATGGAACGCCACCTGCCATTTCCTAAGTAAAGTTTCTTAGATTTTCGTAATTTTGAGTTTAGGAGTAATTAAATCTATGGATTTTGTTTTTTACTTGCTAAATGCTGTTAGCACCAAAAAAAGGCAAAAAATCAAATAGCAGACGCATGTTTGACACATATAACAAATGTAGGAGAAGAGAAATTTAATAACCACAAACACATAAAGTACCTCCAATTCTCATATTGAGACTAGCACAAACTTTAGATAGAATTATCTTTACAAATACCAAGACTCTCACTAAATTCCTACATTTGAAATTTGAGTTTAGGAGTAATTAAATCTATGGATTTTTTTTCCTTACTAAATTCTGTTAGCACAAAAAAAAAAAAGAAAAGAAAAAAAATCTTATAGTGGAAGCATATTTTTTGATACAGAAAATGTAGGCGAAGAGAAGTTTAATAATCACAAACACATAAAACACATCTAATTCTGATATTGAGACTAGCATAAACTCTAGATAGACTTATCTTTACAAATACCAAAACTCTCACTAGTCCTTCATAATTTTCTTCACCGTTCTCAACTGAAAACAATAATTAGACACTTCATATAGTAGCATGCAAGAGTTGAAATTAGGAAACAATTATGACAAGAAACAACTAAATAATTACTCTATACCTTAACTAAATAAACTATTGAAATTGAACTATATTTGAGCTTCTAATTTAGAAATAGAAAACAATTACGAAGTTTGGTTTAGTTATACCATCAAATTTACCAAATCACAGTTCAGGTGTAATATTGTGCTTTAGATGATTTAGATACTTATTTTACGCTGTAACATTGTATAAAATGTGAATTTAATGCTAATGGCAGTCTTACATGTATGCTCCTTCCTACGTTTGTGCTTCATTAGTTCCTTGTCAAATCTGACCTATTAAACCCAAAAATGATTGGACAAAGAGCACTATTTAGAGAGGTATAAAGTCTTAATAGTTGAAGTGCTAGCACTGTCAACAATCACCGGTCGAAATTTTTAGTGTGTTGCATCAGTTGCAAAATTTTAATGCACACATCCGATATCATTCTATTTCTTATATTCCTATATTTTCACCTTCTCCTGGAAATCGGGCGAAATAGGAAAAAAAAAAAAATTTCTTGACCAATTGCCTTCCTGGTGAAAGCTGTTGGTTTGAGTCCACATTAGGAATGAAGATTATTTGAAACAGTTTTGCTTTTTGTTGTAATTATTTTCTGATATGATATTCATAAAGAAAAAATATTGCTAAAAATATAAAAGACAGTAGAGAAACATGTTTAGAGGATCTCCAGAAAGAAAAATTTCTAAATATTTTCCATCCAGTAAAAGTTCCTGAACGATGATGCACAATAGGCAGGAAGATCATCTATACTAATCTTTGACCACTTTTTAAACTTCTATTTTTATCATCATAAAAACTAAACTTTATCCTCACTAATCCAATGATAAATAACCAACATAATTTTCACTGTAACTATCAATAGGCATAACTATCAAGATAACTATCCATCAAATAAAAAAAAAATTTATTCTTAAATCGTAACCATATGGGCGTGCCATTAACACTAACTAAGAAAACTATTGTTGTGTCATGACTCAACCAACCTATTTTGGAAAAGAAGAAAATTTAGTAGTTCTCACGTTTACGCGGCTCTTAGTTTTGAGGTTAAGTCAAAAGAAGATGACCTAAACTTAAGTATAAGTCGTGTATATAGCCCTCTGAGTCGAATCAAAAAGTGAAATTGTCCAAAAAAAAAAAACACTATCATCAAGTTGAGAATGTGATCTGAAAAAGGAAATAGTTTAGTGACAAAAAGTATATGATATCAATAATTTAGTGCTGAAGGATATTTCCCCTTTTAATCTCTCATTTGTCTCTTGCGGCCCGGACCTGTAAAAATTAAATATTAGGATATTATTATTTGTCTCTTGCGGCCCGGACCTGTAAAAATTAAATGATAATAGGATGAATTATGATAATGAGAATTGCTCACTTGCCAACTACAACTTGGCAAGTCTGCGTGAAAGAGGTCCAAAGTGCAGACAAACAGCTGAGACTTCCATTTGTATCGAGCTTTCAAATTTCACGCTTAACCCCACAACACTATTAAGGATCCTAATTATCTCCTCTGTAGAGTCCAAAATGATGGCTTGGGGCCAGAAATTTAACTGTAGCACATAATAACATTCTAAATAAATTTTAAACATCTCAAACAAATTCTCAAAAATAAAGTTAAAGTAACTACTCCAATGGGAGAAAGTTATAAAATTGAGGGGATTATAAATTGTGTTGTTAGACTTCTCAAAATAAATTAACTTCTGTCTTTTTTTTCCTTGAGCTCTTTTATCACGTTAGATCTAATACTCTTTGTTTTTGTTTTTCTTTTCGCACGTTTTCAAATTGATTTAAATCTTTTTGCCTTTCTGTTTATCATTTTGCTTTTATTCCAATGACTTTTTTTTTTTTTTGCCTATTTACAGAATGTAAGTCATTTTATTTGATCTAATTTTATATTAGCCTTTAATTGTTTCTGTGCTATTGCATTTTGGGATTACCAATTCTGTTGGATTTAAATTTGGAATTTACTCGAATCCACAGGACGGAAGGCCTTTGTTTTAATTCGTTATAAGTCTATTTTCTTTTCCTCTTTTTTCTTTTTTTGGCACTCATTTTGTTAATCAAATAAAAGTAATTTATGAATTTGCTGCCATCGAAATTTTATCATTCAATATGATGTAATTTTGGATTGCACAGGAAACATTATTGGTTAATTCCACCTCAAGTTGTATAACTATGGGGCTTATTTACAACATATTCAACTTCTCAACTTGCCTTCCGCCTAAGCGTCCTTTTTTTTGGGCTTAGGTATCTATATTTTCTTTTTTGACAAAAGATACTTGAACTTAAAAATAATTGTCGGACACTTCACCTTCTTTCATCAGACAAAATATAGAAATAGAGTGTTAGAAACTATCGTTGGAGTGTAAATATCACTTGCTTTTATTAATGTATTAGACTGCATGATGAACAAGTGACTTCATGGCTTTGACACTTCGTAACTAAATCAACTTTAAGCATTAAACAATGAAGTAGGGAATGAGGATGTGACAAGTAGATTTTATTCTATTTTTATTTTTTAGTGTAAGCAGGAGGACTCGAACTTGAGACCTCTCACTTATGCTCCCTCCCCCGTACCATCCAACCCAATCCTCCCCGACAAGTAGATGGTTTACAGTAGTTTTTTTTTTCAATAATTATGGATATCTACTTTTTTTCACATGAAGGTGATTAGCTAGATGTACTTTTGAGCTCTTCTTTTGATAGTTTTACAAGTTGAAAAATACTTAACCAAGTGGTGGTGTATATGAAGGTTGATGCGATTTCTTTTATTCTTTTTATGTTTCCAAAATATACATTGTACATCCTTGATAACTTAATGTATAAAGCAATTCAAGAGCAAGAAATGGTTTCTTCTGGCGCCACACTCATTTGACATTCTTTTTAAATTATACAAGGGGTAATTTTGATCAACAATTTTTGCAAGTGCACAAGGTTGATCGTAATATTAATTAACCTAAAGTATTCCAGGGATTGAATCCATAGAAATGAATTAATTTTGTCTACTTTAATTATTATGAAAAATAACAAAATGTAAATTCAAAGGGGTTGTAATTTCTAACTAAGGAGTAATTAAATCTTGGATATTAGTTTTTTTTTAATTTTTTTACTTATTACTAATATAAGTTTTGACATTGTACAAAATTTGAATAAACTGATAATGATGCTCTTAATGGTGTTCTTTTCTTAATTATTATTTCTTATTAAAACTTGTATACTGTGCTAGTTCCTTATTACTTCTGATTAAATCATTTTAAAAAATGTGGACAAAAAAATGCTATTTTGCCTAGTTAGTGAAATTTTTATTATGCTCATATAATACAAGTTGATATCTAATGATTCAAAAAATAAAAACTTTAGTATTTTGTGCATTTTAAAAAATGCTTTGAAATATACTCATATTTTTTAAATAACCATATAAGAGATGGACTTAACTTTCACAATATTATATTTCATGAATTATATTTTTTTGAAATAATTTTTACAACACATCATCCGAGTTATACATCAAATGCAATGATACATCGTTATATCTATACATTTATATTAATATAATAAAGTGACAAACTTTAATAAATTTAGTATCTCATATACAAAGATAAGAGTTCTAGTTGATATTTTTTGGTTCATTATCTTCAAATAAATTTGTACATTACTATTCATGATCAAATTTGTTATGCATAGTTTTTCCAAATTTATATCTTTGCAATGGACTTTTAAAATAATTCATATATTATACACATTCAATATTTTTTAAACTATGCAATTTAGATAGATTAAAATTTTAAAAGTTTAAGAATTAATACTATCTACGAACGCTGGTTAAGATTTTTTTACACTAGTAATTTTAGATATATACCATATGTGCATGATTTGAATTTCATATTTGAATTCATATTATTTAACATGATCTAAACCTGTTAGTGTGGAAAAAATTATGCACAGATAGCAAATAAAAAAGTTATCCTTTCTTTATACCACACACTTAACTTTATTATTTTTTAAAAAAATTCCATTTTTTCACATTTTCCTAGAATTCAAACTAATAGGAAAACTATTTTCTTCTTGTCTAGTTGCCTCCTTGGCAAAAAGATGTTAGATATCGAGTGTGTTTATGATTATTTGATTTTTTTATTTAGAAGTGTACATTTTTCTATTTGGGGGATTTGCTCATATGATGTTAATGACATAAAAAGAGAGTTGAATAAAGTGGTTAGAGAATCTCTGAAAAAGAATTC